GGCCTTATAAGGCAGGAAGGAGTTCAAGGTACAGCGAGTCAGGAGGCTCCGCTCTGGCTCAGGCCGGCTTCTCACTGAGTGACCTTGAGCACGTCACTAACCCTCTATGCCCCTCAGTCCCCTTTTTGCAAAGCAGAGTCTGGAGTAGACAGGTGATATCTAAGGCTGCTTTCAGCTCTAAGAATTCTGAGTCTGTGATCGGAGTTGAGTCTTTGCCGACAATGCTTTGAGGAATTCCTCGGAAGGGCAAGGCCGGGCATGCTTAGCACAGCTCTGGACAGTGAGGGCCACATGGGCACTTTCACGGACCAGACACACGCACTGCGTGGGCGGCCTCAATCATCGTTTGCTCTGAGATTCCTCTCAAATGAACCGCTAGTGGCACATCTTGCTGCCACTCCTCCCTCGGTTCTGTGTAAATCCAGACAGATGAACTACTGGGCTCCTTCAAGACCTCATCCTCAGGTAGCCATCGTGCATGAAGACAGAACTCTGAAATAGTGAGGGTAGGGGTGTGCGTGTGTGTGTGTGTGTGTGTGACACAATACACTCCCCAGGGGCTGGGGTGCGGGGCCGGTGCCTGCCAGCTGAGAATGAGCGTGGTCGGAGGAGGCTGCAGGGAACACGCGGCAGGACAGCAGCTGCAAGGAGCTGGCAGGTGTTTGGAGAAGAAAGTGCTGCCCTGGCTGGTTGGCTCCGTAGACAGAGCGTCGGCCTTCGGACTGAGGGGTCCCAGGTTCGATTCCAGTCCAGGGCACATCCTGGGTTGCAGGCTCAATCTTAGTAGAGGGGGGCAGCCAATCAATGATTCCCTCTCATTAATGCGTCTCTCTCCCTTCCTCTCTGAAGTCAATATATATATGTACGTTTTTAAAGAAGGGAGTGCTGACCAGGAAGCCCGCACTGAACAGCGGGAGCAGCACTGCCTGCTCCCGGGAAGGCAGAGAACAGGCCTGGGGAATTTAAGAAACGGAGCTATCCTCCTCAGACAGCCTCAGCAGGAGGGTCTGGGGCTCAGGAAAGAGGCAGGGGCCTGGGTGGGGTTTGGGGAGCTGAAGGCAGGTGTGGAAATACTGGCCATTTTCTCCCTCCCCTTCCCCCTCTCCTCCCCTAACCCCTCCTTCTCTCATATCTGTCATTTGCCATCTCCCTTCTGAATGTCTCTCCTCCCATTTTTTCTCTTTCAGTTGATCATAATATGCAGCTGGTGGATATCAACTTAAATAAACACCAAAAGGAAGTCTTATGTTTTCTCTGGCTACTGAACAGTTTTTATTCCTCTTAAAAACACCTTTCAATCACTGCACCTGTAGGCGGTCCCAAAGAGCTTCCTTCCCTGTTGAAGAGCCTCGCGGGGAGGCTGGTGGGAAGCATCCATTCTCAATCCCCGAGGCCAGACTTGGCACTTGGTGCGAGGCAAGGTGGTAAGCAAGGTCTCCCCTCTCCTCCCCTGACCGAACAGTGCCACACACGCTGGCATCAACAAACAGGTGAACTTGGAGGCCCTCAGTCATACTTGGGACTTGCTAGCCATTATCAGCTATAGGCATACACTCACTCGTTTTTAATCAATTCGTCTTTTAGTAAGAGCTAAGAGCTACCAAGAAGGGTGTGGCTTACCTAAAAAGCTTTGAACAAGGCTGATGGTTATGGATTTCTGTAATCAGAAAGAGAAAATACATCTTAGTTAATCATATAAAATAGCCCAGGAAATACACACACACACACACACACACACACACACATAGTAGTTGTTGAAAATCTCAGATAATAAAAAGAGGGTTTCCACCTGGCCAGATGGCTCATTGGCTGAACTCTGTCCTGTGCACCGAAAGGTGGTGGACTCGATTCCCGGTCAGGGCACATACCCAGGTTGCAGGTTTGATCCCCTGTCAGAGAGGCAACCAATCAATGTTTCTCTCTCTCCCTTCCTCTCTAAAATCAATGAAAAAATGTTCTTGGGTGAGGACTAAAATAATAATATAAATGAGTGAGAGAGTTTTCCTTGTTCCAACAGGTGCAGTGTGCACACGGGGAAGAACTGTATCTCCTCAACATTTCCACTCAGAGACACCTTCTCAGAACCACGTGCACGGAGAAGAGCAGCCGTTCCCACCTGTCCCTTCCCATCTGTCTGCGTGATGCGCACGCACCTGAGAGCTCACACTCAGGAGCGGGCAGCCAGGCCCTGACTCGGTCTTACCTGGGTACAGCACCGGGGACAGGAGCCACTGACTGGGTAAGAGCTGTGAGGACAGCCTGGGGAGAGGGCCTGCACCACTGCCCATCAATGACCTGCTAGCTCACAACGTGGGCCTGTGTTCTGAAGGGAAGGGAGGAAACTCTGGAAGTCCCTTAACCCTTCCCCAGACGGCCAGCACCAAGGGAAACCGCTATTACCAGGCAGATCTGAAAAGACAGCGGTGACTAACCAGAGGGAACAACTTCTTCCGGCTCAGCAGGGGGCGTGGGTCTGGTTTGCTTTATGAGACAGGAGACCAATTAGCATTCCATTCTGCTAATAGCGTTCTCCTTACAGGGACTCTTTACCTTCAGTGTCACAGCCCAGACTTACAGGCTGCAATTTTCACTCAATTAAAAGGGAACCACAACCCTCAACGTGGCTATTAACCCTGTCCTGGTCCGGCTGCCAAAACACATGCGCAGACCCAATGCTCCCTCAGCGGAGAGGAGCTCATTTGCTCAGCCGGCTGTTGACACAGCGATACAAATAAGAAACCTCATCCAGAAACGTGCCCTCTTTTATCGCCAAAATGATACGGTGTGCCTTCCCAAGGTATTTCAGAGATGCTTTTAGTAATTAGGATGTGAAACATCTGTAGCAAAAACATTACCTCAGGGAGAAGGGGAAAAACACACATCTTCTACTTGACAGGAAAGAATATTTTGTTTAAGAAAACCCCTAGAGTAAACGCTGAGCTGAACTCCGAGTAACTCCTGTCACCAGTCCTCCCAGCAGACGTTTCATGATTTGCAGCCTGGGTCAGAAGCACACTGAAGTCATGCTCTAGACACCGCGCGGCACCTCCTAAGGACGTGAAATACAGCTTTCCCGGGGAAGGCTTTTGGCAACACCTACCCAAGCACACCGCGGAGAAATGGGGAGGTGGTCTCCAACAGGTGAAGCTGCCCATCGGAGTGGAGCAGGTGGGCACATTAGCTGGGGGCAGACCTTTGGCAGGGCAGCCTCACTGGGACCTAGACTTCCCTACGCCTCCAGCGCATCCACATGGCAGACTCCTCATCGTGTGTACGGCGTCTCGACACACACGTCCCCACACTCCCCCCGGGGGGTGCTGCTCTTCTTGCTGGCCTTCGTGTCTCTGCCCCGCATCCCCCACTGTCCTCTCCATTCTTCCCGGCGACAGCCACAACCCCAGCTCACTAACTCGGGCGCTCTGCTGTCTGGTTTGGCTCTGCTTCAGGTGAGCTGGCGCAGCTTCAAATGAGTATGTGTTCAAGACAAGACAGGCACTTCGTGCGCAAAATGTGATCTTCTCTCTAAAGTCCCCTGATTGTGTCGAGTCAGGTAAAGGTGTCTGTGCATGAATTCACACATTTTCAACAAATAATGTCTTTGGCCAATTTATTTTACTTAAAGGATCTAATTCTGGAGGTTAACTTATGCCAGGACAGTTCTTCACACTATTGCTGTGGAAACTACTTTGCTTCATGTCAGTCCAGGTTTTCCACTGGTTTACATTTATTTTCTAACTAGAGGCCCGGTGCACAAAATTCATGCACTCGGGGGCGGGGGGGAATCCCTCAGCCCGGCCTGTGCCCTCTCGCAGTCCAGGAGCTGTCAGTTGGACAACCTTAGCGCTGCTGTGGAGGGGGAGAGGCTCCTGCCACCACCACTGCACTCAACAGCCGTGAGCCCAGCTTCTGGCTGAGCGGTGCTCCCCCTGTGGGAGCACACTGGCCACCAGGGGGCAGCTCCTGCATTGAGTGTCTGCTCCCTGGTGGTCAATGCACATCATAGCAACCAGCCGTTCGCTGTTCAGTCGATTTGCATATTAGCCTCTTATTATATAAGAAATGGATTTTATGTATTCATTTTAAAAGTACAGTTGACATACAGTATTACATCAGTTTCAGGTTTACAACATAATGATTCAACTTTTATATACTTTACGAGTACAGTGATCACAACAAGTTTAGTAACCATCTGTCCCAGCAAAGTTATTACAAGGTGAATGAGTCTATTCCCCATGCTGTACGTTACATCCCCACGACTTATTTTATAACTGGAAGTCTGTACTTCCGAATCCCCTTTTCTGCCCACCCCTCCACCCTCCTCTCTGGCATTCATCATTTTTCCCTGTGTCTATGAATCTGTTTCTAGTTTTTGTTTGTTTGTATTTGTCTTTTCTGTTTTACTTTTTTCACTCTCTAGATCCAAAGATTTCACTCTTTTTATGGCTGTGTAATACTCCATTTTACATATGTACATCTCTAAGATCAATTAAAAAAGATAACTTATTCAAATAAATAGGTAAATATAAACAGCTAGAATATTAATCAGAAATGCTATTTTTGTCATCATGCTGGATAAGAGAGCTCTTTCTTATATGGTTTGCTGTCAGTTAACTAAATCTGGCATTTTAACCTTCACCTATCAAATTAATTTTGAAATTCAAGTGCAACAATAAATAACTGCACAGATGTCCAATGAAACCAAAATCTCCACTTCAGGATTTTAAAGAACTAAGCAAAACAAACAAGGACAAAACCTCAATGACAGAACAGCTATACCCGTGCACCGCACGTCTTTATTTAGCAGTCGATGCTGTGGAGCAGGTTTTATAGTTTTGGTCCTATCAAACTATAGGAGAGAGTTCAGCCTCTTCCCCCAAATCCAACCCTACATCAATCCTCACCCTGGCCCCCCTTGCATGTACCAGGCTATCAGAACAGGCTTGAAATTAATGACTTGCCCCAATAGGACCTGACCTTCCAGCAGAATTTCAAGCTCTCACCTGCACACCCTGGTCGCAGACACAGGCCAGGGCCCCTGTGTGTTTTATGCCCTCCTTGCTGTGTTCCTCTGAATGCACACCCTGACCCTGAGTTTGCCTCCTGCATGATGTCTTCCCTGATCTCACCCACTAGCAGTTTCCCCTCTAATCTATGGGATGGCCTTGGCTCCTTTCTTACAGCACTCATCTTGTGCTGCTGGCACTTCTGTGACTTGCCTCATCCTCCCACACTCCTGGGAGGCAGAAATGCATCTGGATGCTCCTCGCACTGCCCGGCACATGCCTTACACTTCAGTGAGCATTGGCTGCACAGGTGAATAAAATGCCTCTTGCTTTTCTCTGGGTGTCAGGATATGCTGTTTGATGATACTGACATGCAGCTAAAAAAACTGAGTCAGTGCATCTATAAATACTCAGTCTTCCCCAAAAATCTCCCCCAAACTGACAAAGGCTGTACAACTCGCTAAATTCTACAATTTGCTAAATAAGTGTGAACAACTATGCCAGACCCTTCAGAAAGGCCCTGCATAACACACCCTTTATTATAGGGGGTGATGATGACAATGGGGACACCCTAATTTGCAAATCTGAGGTTCTCAGGGGTTTTGGAGAGACTATCAAGTGCAACAGCACACAGAATCCAGTCAAAGTCGGGTCAGGTAGTGGGTAAGGGACCGCGTTACAGAATACCTGCACCTACAGCGAGCCGCTGTATCCTTACGCTGACCTATAGGAACACTTCACATCGCTTATTAGTGCAAAGAATTGGCATTGTAATCACAGGGTGCCTATGGCTCTTCCAATCTTTAGAGTAAAGTCGGTCAAGGGCCACAGAACAGACGAACCGAACACACAGAGTGTTTCTGAGGTCGGTACGCCCACTCACCAATGACTTGCAGGAACTCTGTGTTGCTGATTTGGGAGTCACTGATGCTAAAGGTTTCCTCTTGTCTCACCTCTCCCAGCAAAAATCCTTCCTAAATGTAATAAAGAAAATAGTTGCACACTAAACATTAAGACGGTTTTTACTGGAATTAAGAGAAATTTAAGACATAATAATTTTTAACAATAATCCAAATAAGCTTGGCATGCAAACCACTGTTCTATAAACCAACAAGACAGATGAGAGAAATCTGAGATATACCAAATAGCTGGATTGTTGAAAAAAGGATTCCATACAAGATGAAATATATTTCAACCCCTTCAAGTCTTCCCTGTTTCTCTAAAGTAAAAATTAGTAGAGAGAATTCATCACCTAAATCCTATCAAGTAGCATCACCAGTGTCGGCAGTGGGTGGAGGTGGGTGGGTGGAGGGCATAGGGGGATAAAAGCTTGTTTTCTTGAAACAGACTACAGTTCATTTCATTGCATTGCATGGAAAACACTGCTACTGAGAGAAGGATAGAGACGTTGGCACAATGCACAGCTAAGTTCTCTGTAGCTGGCGTGGAAATTAGGGCCTCAGCAAATCTTTTTTTTTTTAATATATTTTATTGATTTTGTACAGAGAGGAAGGGAGAGAGATAGTCAGAAACATCGATGAGAGAGAAACATCGACCAGCTGCCTCCTGCACATCTACTGGGGATGTGCCCGCAACCCAGGCACATGCCCCCGACCGGAATCGAACCTGGGACCCCTCGGTCCACAGGCCGACGCTCCATCCACTGAGCCAAACCGGTTTTGGTGGGCCTCAGCAAATCTTATCGCTCGCATGCAAGTGCTGCTCTGATAGATGCAGAGGCTGGGCTATTCGCACCTCGGAGAACACACACACACCACCACAATTCTGGATTATTTGGCACCTAACCTGCTGTTGGAGTGCTTTCTATACTTTTAAATATTGAAAAAATATTAAAATGGAGGCCTGGCTGGTGTGGCTCAGTGGGTTGGAGTGTGGTCCTGTGCACCAAAGGGACTCTGGGTCAGGGAACATACCGGGTTTGCGGGTTCAATCCCCAGTCGGGATTTGTACAGTCCAACTGCATATGGGAGGCAGCCAATTAATATTTCTCTCTCTCCCCCCCCCCCTTTTCCCTTCCTCTCTCTAAAATCAATGAAAAAGTAATAAAAAATTAAAATAGGAGTATTTCATGATGTGAAAATTATATGAAATTCAAATTTCAGTGTCCATAAAGTTTATTGGAAGCAGTCACCCTAATTTATCTATTGCCTATAGCTGCTTTCTCTTGCAACAGCAGGGTGGAGTAACTGCCACAGACCACATGGCTCCCAACTAAGTTCTTTGCCTGGACGAAACAAGAATGTGCTACCAAAGCAAATTCTTGGTTGATCTTCAACTTTAAAATACATAAAATTGAAACAACTCTAGTCCACACATATAACTGTGGCAAGGTTAACGTAGGCAAGTGTGGTCATATCCAACACAGTTGCAAACTACTGTCATTGGTGAACATTTCTGTTTAGCCGCCAGACCTGGCGCGGTGTAGATATTAAGGAGATGTCTCTTGAATTGAATTAGTAACAATCCGGGTAACGTGGCCATCTCACTGCGTTTGTAGAAAAAAGTACCGACTTTTCAACAGGTAGCTGCTGATTCTTACCGTAATCTTGTCCTACACATCAACTGTGACATCGCTAGGCACTCCGCAAATCAGAGTTCACTGAAACCATCTGTCACACGTCCACCGACACTAGGCGTGTCACAAACCACCTACATGCCGGGCTGCATTACAGTAGTAGCTCGCTGGCTGCAGTACCAAAAGCCGCATGCAATGCAATGAATTGTATTGCGCTTCAAGAAAACAAGCTTTTATCCCCCTGTCCGGAGCATGCGCGGCCTCCGGACAGACCCAGGTCAGACCCAGGTCGTGTGTGTTCTTATCATTAACCTCTCCCACCAGCGCTGGAGAGGTGAGAGGCACCTTCATTTACTGCCATACACTGACTAATGAGATCGCCTCTCGAGAAGTTGCTATTAATGGAGGCGAAGACTGCTGACATCCAACCAAATCCAGTTCCTTCTGCAGTCGCATTTTGCTTTGTAATGACAAGCAAACCTCCGCCCCCCCGCCCCACCCCGCGCACACACTTATTTACTGACGTTGAACAATGCACTCTTGGCATCTTTTCAAAGAGCCCCCCAGTGCGGTGGGCAGACCGAAACACATCCTGAACGATTCAAATGATCTAGTTCCACAAAGAACTTCCATTCCCAGGTCAGTGACATGAAAAGGCACCCCGGGGAATGAAGGCGCGGGAGGCGCCGGGACCCGCTGGC